GGCAGCGCTGAAACGGTGAGTGCTGATTGGTTGCACAGCCGGGAGCGGGGCGTCGCACGCCTGGACTTCGCCCCAGAGACCAGCCGGCCAGTGGATTGCCGCCCACTCAGAGCCTGCCGGTGGTCGCTGGCTCCCCCAGATCAGTGGGCCAGAAAAGCGGAAGCCTTAGCCCAGTGTGGTGGCGCAGAACTTTGGGAGGCTGAGGAAGGAGGAGCTCGAGTTCCAGCCCAGCCCGGGAACCTTAGCAACCTAGGCCCTCTTAAAAAAAAAAAAAAGGTCGGGGATATGGTTCGCGGCGGAAAGCCCTGGGCTCCATCACCAGTGCTAAGGAAAACCCTATCCCTCCACCCACAGGTCATCACTGATGACACCCACACAGCTGCAGAGTGCTTGAAAGCATCTCCTCATCTTCCCAACACGGCAAGCCACGCAGTTGAATTTTACTGATCAAAAAGCTGGAATTCAGAGATGAAGCCACGCAATCCGCGGTGGCACTGTCTGGGCTCCGGCCCCGGGCTTTTCCTGCAAAGCGGTCTTATGGACAGTCCTGAAATGACAGGATCCCTCTGAAAACACGTGATGGGAACCAGTGAAAGCTAGGAGGCATCATCCTCCCTCCCCCACACCCAGGACAAAAGGTTTTTTTTGCACATACACGTGTTTTCACACCATCTTAGAGGTTCACTGAAAGGTAGTGTGCTGTACAGTTTGTACCTCATTTACTTGAGACTGAACCCAGGAGTTTTGCACTGAACTATATCCTAGGCCTTTTTTGTGATAAGACCTAAAGTCTCCAAACTGCCAGGCTGGGCTTGAACTTTCGATCCTCCTGCCTCAGCCTCCCAGAGTGCTGGGATTACAGCTGTACACTACCATGCCCGGCTGGGGATGTTTTCAGGGACACTCAGTGCACCTCCGCTGCCCAAGGATGGGTATGACCCTCAGTTAGATGAAGTCCTGTGACTGAAGGCAGGGGTGGCCAGCGGCCATGGCACAGCTTGGGCAGCAACAGAGAGCAGGGGAAGAGGAGTGAGCGCCCCCAAGGGCACTTGTCTCTGACCCAAGCCAATTGCAGTAAAGGCCCTCTTAGAATAGAGTTGGAGGAGCACAAGGCAGAAAACAAACCTGTCAACAACTCTGTAAGGTAAGCAGGGATTATCTTCTGTTTCATAGCTAAAGAAAGATCCAGGGGGTGAAGTGTAGTAGTTGTAAATGTACACTGCAAACTCCAAGGCAATCACTTAAGGAGTGGGAAAGTCTAACTTGTATGCTACTGAAGGAGAAAACATAGTCATAAATCCTCAATTAAAACCATTAAAGGCAGGAAATTGAAAACAAAGTAAGGAACAAAACAAATAACAAGAAAAACAAGTAGAAAGCTGTATGGTAGATACTATTCTACTTATAATTTCTTTGAAGGGCAGGGATTTAGCTCAGTGGCTCATGCCTGCCTCACAAGCACAAGGTCCTGAGTTCGAGCCCCAGCACCCCCCCCAATTCTTTGAATGTCAGTGGTCTTAATGCACCAATTCAAAGAAATGTCTCAGTTGATCATAAAAGAAGACCCAACACTATGCTGCCTGTAAGAAACTCCCTTGCCTATATAAAGATACATAGATTAAAAGCAAACATCACTGAGTTCGAGACCAGCCTGGACTACATAGTGAGTTCGTCAGTCTCAATTACATAGTGAGACCCTGTCTCAAAAAACCAATCAATCAATCAATCAATCAATAAAAATAAAAGCAAACAGACGGTGCTGTGGTGCCTGCAACAAACGCCTATGATGAAACTGAAAATATGATAGTCTAAACAGATGGGATCAGGCAGTGATTAAAACATTAGGGTTCTGCCCTCCTGAATAGGACTAGTTCCCTGACAAAGGCCTGGAAGCAACACCATTCATTCCCTCTTCCCTGAACACATGGTCCAAGCAGCCGTCTTGGAACGAGAGAACAGAGCCCCCTCCAAATACTGACCCAGCCAGTGCCTTGATCTTGGACTTTTGATCTTCTACAATGGTGAGGAAATGAATTTCTGTTCTTTGTAAAGTGTTGCAGTTTACAGCCATGGAATAGAGCAAAAAGGATGTGAGTTTACTTGGAGTCAATGTCCAATCCAAACTCAAGCAGGCACAGATGGGCTGCATTAACTGAGACCCCTACGCATGACAG